CATAGCAACCCTATAGGACAAAGTAGAACTGCCCCACAGGGCTTCCAAAGAGCAGCTGGTGGATTCAAACTGCCGATCTTCTGGTTAGCAGCTGAGCTCTTTAAGGTTCCCAGTGAGTTTGTTGTGCGGCAGGTAAAGATCACCACAATTCCTGAAAACGGGTGTCCAACTCTCCCACTTTCTCCACTTTCCTCCCTTTCCCTCTACTGGGGAGTATAATGGTCCAGAGTGGGAGCCCTAGCATCACACTGCCGGGGTTCTGGTTCCAGCTCTGTCCCTAGATAGCAAGGATGTCTTGGGCAGGCCAATTTATTCCTTTGTGCCTCAGTTACCTTATGCATACAGAACCAGTTGCCGTCCAGTTGATTCTGACTCACGGCGACTCCATGTGTGTCAGAGTAGAACAGTGCTCCGTAGGGTTTTTAGTGATTGATTTTTCAGGAGTAGATCGCCAGGCCTTTCTTCCAAGATGCCTCTGGGTGAACTTGAACCACCAACCTTTTGGTTAACAGTGAGCACATTAACTGTTTGCATCACCCAGGGACTCCTTCCCTATCCATAAGCTGGAAGAAATGTTTAACTCAGGAAATCCTATCTGTTAGGATTCCTGCTGGTCTCCTCTCACTTTGCCAGGTGCTATGCATTTTTCTAGTAGTACAAGGACAAGTAAACCACAGACCCTACCCTAAAGGAGCCTGACCTTGACCTAACTGTGTGCAGTAGCTGAATTCTGGAAAACGTGCATGGAAATTAACATTTTGATATAATGTAGACCCCGCTCCCTAGAACAAGCAAGTATGGGCACGTTCTTACTGCTGAAGTCAGAGGAGCAACTAGCTGACTCCAAGGCAGGGGAAACCTTGGTCCTGTCAAGTTTTCAAGTTTTGAGATCATTTGAGTTCTCCAGGTCACCTGAAGGCTGTGGTCTCAGACTTCTTTGGGGCATAGATGGAGGCTGCGCATCAGTCCCTTTCAGCCAGAGACTCAAGGTGAACTCCTGTCTCAACTATTGAGTGGGAGAGGATCTGCTGGCTTTCCAGCACTTTCCCTGCGGGCATAGCTTCCTTCCCATCTGGAGGTTTACTTCAGCTCAGGGCCTCAAACAGAAGAAGAGGACCCCAGTCCAAGGCACTCAAGGCCCCAGACAGCTCTCCCGCTAACAGTGGCTCCCCAGCTGGCCATTGAACCTCCCCTTCTCTCCCTCTCTTTCCCAGTTCCTTGTGGTCTGAGTCCAAGAGCACAGAGTGGCCTTGCCCGGCCACCTGTCCCACTGGCCTGCTCTGACATCCCCTGTATCTCTGCTGAGCTGTGGCCCTGGGGCATGAAACCCTGAGCTGGCCACTCATCTCCCGATACCCAGGTTGCTCTCCCTGGACCTGTTTTGCTCTCAGTAAATAGGAGGTCATCTCTGTTGTGCTCAGTTTCCCTGATAGGGCAGGACACCCCGGATGTGGTGCTAAGCCTGCAGCAGTTGCTTTGCATTTTAAACTCATTCTTCCCTTTTTTTCCCACTCACTCATTCCACATATATATTGAATGGCTGCTCTGTGCGAGGTCTTGCTCTAAGGATAGTCAATGTGAATGAGAAAGTCCCTGCCCGCACATTTCACGGGAGGAAACAGACACTTAGCAAAATAACCCCACTAACGTACATAAAATGACAGCGATAAATCTTGTATCAGAATGGAAGAAAAGTCTGTGAGAGCATAATAAGCTGATTTGTCCGAAGTAGGCCCTAACTAGGCAATGAGTGTGGCGGTGGGGGAAGAGGGAAGGGATCAATGGCCCTGGGGCAAACAGTCTGACCTGTCCTCAAAAAATTGAAAATAGAGTTACTGTATGACCCAGCAATTCCAATTTTAGGTATGTGTATACCCTAGAGAAATTAAAACACTTCCAGACAAAAACTTGCACACAGATGTTCTCAGCATTATTATTTATAATAGCCCAAAAGTAGAAACTACCCAAATATCGTTCAATGAATGAATGGATAAAAAAAATGTGGTCTATCTATACAGTAGAATGTTATTCAGCCATAAAAAGGAATGAAGTCCTGATACATGTTACAGCATGGATGAACCTTGAAAATATTATGCTAAGTGAAAGACACCAATCACAAAAGGCCACCTATTCTATGATTCTGTGTATACAAAATGTCCAGAATAGGCAAATGTATAGAGACAGTAGATTAGTGATTGCCGAGGGCTGAGGGGAGGGAGGAATGGGTACAAAGTTTCTTTTGGGGGCAATGGAAATGTTCTGGAATTAGTGGGGGATCAATGCACAACTTTGTGTATATGCTAAAAACCAGTGAATTGTAAACTTTGCAATGAATGGTAAACTTGATGATATGTGGATTATATTTCAAAAAAACTGTTATTAAAAAATAATAATACACTTGGAGCAACAGAGGAAGAAGGAAAGTCAGGAATAGGAGGAGGAAATGAAATGTGTGGCTAACTGCCTCCATATAAACAACTGCCTCCTTTGCCATGATACCAGAAGAACTGGATGGTGCCTGGCTACCACTACTGAACATTTTGATCAAAGATTGTATAAAGAATCCTGATCAAAAGGGGGAAAATGCAGAACAGAATTTCAGATTATCTTGGACTTCAGACTTTCTGGAGCCAGGGAGGCTGGATGAACCCCTGAAACTATTGCCCTGAGATCATCCATAAACCTTAAACCAAAAATACCTCACATTGTCATACATGATGCCCCTGCAATTTCTTTCCTGTTTAGTAGTCTGTGACTTTAAAATTCCCACTGTTATATGTTTTAATTTATGAAAATAAATTTTTTAAAATCTTTCAAAAATAAAAAAAAACAAACAAAAATATCCCCTAAAGTTTTCTTAACCCAAAAACAATAGGTTAGTTTAACTAGTTAAAAAAAAAAAAACTGCCTTGAGCATTATGCTCTTTAAAGAACTGTCTATATGGGATCAAATTGATGACTGCAACCTGAAAGATTAGATAGGAACCTTAGGAGGCAGATAGTGTATGATAATGGGGGAGGAGCAACTCAAAAGGAGGGTAAGAATGGTTGCACAACTTGAAGAAAGTCATCAATGTCACTGAATCGTACCCGCAGAAGTGGTTATGTTTTGCTGTGTATATTATCAACAACAACAACAAAACAAAATTAAAAAATAATAATAATAAAGTCCCTGGGCAGGAAGGAGCCTGTGTACAGAGAGGGAGGAGACAACTGGGGTGAGATGAGGCTGATGGGGTTGACAGGAGCCACATCACTTAGGGCTGTTCTTTCAACCCCAGGAGGCTCAGTCTGCTCCTGCAAAAGACCCTGCCTTTCTCCACAGCATCTGGCGTTAAAGCTCATAATTAGGGATTGTTTTCAAACTGGGATTGGAATTAGGGTACGTTTTTTTTTTTAATTTATTTTTTTATTGTACTTCAGGTGAAGGCTTACAGAACAAATAGTTTCTCATGAAACAGTAGTACACATGTTGTTTTATGACATTGGTTAACAACCCCAC